ACAAGTGGTATCAGAGCACTTGGTTAATTCGTTTTGTACAAAGTTCGATTACGGCTTTATTTGACAAGATGTGTTCAAACGCAACCATATATTAGATTATATTCGCATAACTCAATTTTGCAGGAATTAGTTAATCAACTAATATGGTCAATTATGTGTTTGATGAATGTTGTTGAATGTGATATATGGTTTTAATTTTGTTCATAAAGCCTCAGACATGTCGAGCAATTGATGAATGAATGTTTGTAATAATTATGAGTCCGGGGGTTGACCGTATAAAATTAGTTATTTGTTTAGAAAACATGTAAATCTATTCGTTGGATCTAGGATCGAATTATGTAATTTTGAAGATAATATTTTTCGTATTGTGATCATGTGTTGATGATCGGGAGATCACAAGGATCAACGATCCTCGAAAACCCGATTGGATTCGGGCTCGGGCGGCTGTCGGCGAACAACCTTGTCGTCCGTGCGGCTCGACAATCGCTGCCGGAGCCGCGACAAATAGGCCGGCGGCGGTTTGGCTCGGCGATCGCGGGCCGAGCGAGTTCCAGTCGGGACACGACTCATGTGGCCGCGCGAAGAAGAAAAAAAAAATCTCGCCGACAAGTTTTTTTCCGACCACCGGCGGCGGCGACGGCGGGCGGCGGTTGGTGGAGGTGGTTTTTACTTGTTGGACAAGCAATACAATATCTATCAGGATTCTACTGCAATGGGAGTTCTAGTTGGACAAGGAAAAAAACTGATAAGGTTTCCTTGTTTAAAAAGACTCAATAATTAATGGCCGTAATAGTGTATTTATTTATTTAAATTTATTATGCCAATTATTATTTATTATTTATGCATGTTAATTAATTATTGATTTTGCATGAGATTAATTTAGAATTGCATGAATAATTAATTATGTTAATTAATTATTACTTTTGCATGGGATTAATTTAGAATTGCATGAATTATTATGCATGTTAATTAATTATTGTATTTGCATAGATTAATTTAGAATTGTACAAATATTTAAAAAAAAAATCCTCACTTAAATAATACTAAGTTTGAGAAAGAATTTTAAATTAAAGTTAATTTCAAAATTCCTAAGGCCTCCATTTCTAATTTGTGGGTAAATCAATTTATTGAAGTATGGGCTCCCCTTTCGGGTGACATCACTAAAATTAATTGTAGGAAATTACCAGGACGAATTTCTAATTAGACGATTATAGGAAGTCTTATGAGAGCGTACGGGCCTCCCTTAGGGAGATGTATAATCAAATTCGATGACCTTAGGGTCGAGAAATGGGATTCACTTAGAATGCGATTTAATTTATTAACTCGCCTCGGGGTCCTTGAATTTTATTGCATGGCCAAATGGAGACCAACTATTAATTTCGTTCGTAATGAATTTGGTTTTGACTTATGAAAATTAATGGGTTCTTGAAAAGCCCTTCTCTTGCAAATATTGAGTATATAGAGTTACCCTCACATCATGCATTACTCACGAGGTTTTGAGATGTCGGACGATTTAAGTTAATATTGTTTTGAGGATATCAATGTTGACAGTTAAATTAAAAAATGTTTAATCTGTAAAATTCATTTTCATGATTCTCAGGCTATATTCATCATGTCGTTCAATCCGTTGTCTGTCATTCTAAAAGAAAATCAGCTTATTGGTCCTAATTACATTGATTGGAAGAGGAATTTAGACATAGTGTTGACTGCTGAGGGCTATAAGTTTTCCATCAATGAGGCTTGCCTGGCAGAGTCCGCGGCCGATGCTCATGAGCAGGAGAAATGGAGTATGCTCGGTGGAAGAAGGCTGATGAGATGGCGAAGTGTTACATTCTGGTTTCTATGTCGAATGTTCTTCAACATCAGCATCAATCTATGACCACTGTTGCAGATATACTTCTCAATTTCAAGAATCTGTTCGGACATCAGCCTAGGGCCGCTAGGGAGGAAGCCTTGAGTGCTCTGATGAACACGCGCATGGCCGAGGGCACACCCGTGAGGGAGCACGCCCTAAGGGTCATGGTGCAGCTCAATGAGCTTGAGGTTATGAGAGGTTTTATTGACGGGGAAACCCAGGTTGATATTGTGCTCCAGTCTCTGCCTAAGAGCTTTGATTGAACTACAACATGCACAAGATGCATAAAGCTCTTCCAGAACTGTTGACTGAGCTTCAGTCGGCATAAGCCTTGTTCACTTAGAACCCTCTGGTGCTAGTCGTTGAGCAGGCTGGACCTTCCAGGCCTCACAAGGAAAAGGAGAGGTAGAAGTCTGCAGGAAAGGTGAAGGCACGAAATGCTACGGTTGCTCCACGACCGGCCCCTCAGGCTGTGGCAAACAAACCGAAAGGAACATTGCACAAGTGCAACAAATCAGGCACTGGAAGGTCGACTGCCTTCTCCTCAAGAAAGGTAACTCCCTCATTAATGTCGTAGAAATATGTTCAGGGGTTGTATCTACCATAACCTGGTGTGTAGATACTGGAGCCACTCATCATGTCTGCAATTCTTTGCAAGGATTCCAGAAAACGGGCGACTTAAGGAGGGAGAGATCACCGTCTACATGAGAAATGCTACGAAAGTGGCGGCTGTTGCAGTGGGAGACGTTACCTTATCGTAGTATTTTGGTTTTAAGACATTGCCTTTATGTTCAAAGTTTTAGAAAGAACCTTGTTTCAGTTTCTAAACTTGTTTTGGATGGTTTTTAATTACAGGTGAGAAGTAGAGCACATTGATGTGCGAGACTCGGTGACGCTCGACCACCAACGCGCACCAGAGAGCCTAAAAGAGTCGTGCACACCACGTGACGCGCAGCGACCTAGGTGACCTATCAGTGACCACCAGTGGCCCCGACACTGTCCGATAGTCTCCATGTGACATGGTGAGATCGTCAACAGTCCAGTGAGCCCAAGGCGATGTGAGACGCAAAACGCAAGATGAGGTCAATGATGCAGCACGATGGGATCACGATCGACGAACGATGCACGACCAAAGACGAGGAGGATGATGAGGTGTGAAGAACTTCGCAGGATTGTTCGTCCGCCCCTGTAAGCCGTGTATGTCTGTACAGAGCCTGCAAATTTTTTTACTGTACGCGTTGAACCGTAATGGTGCTCTTCTCAGTCATATGTCCAGCTTCACTAAATAACATAAATCGAATGGAGACGAGTACGACACAAATGACAATGCATATGAATTTGTAGTAGACGCTCCCTATTTTTCTGTGAACCCGCACACCATTCCATATTCGACACAGTAGGACATCTCGTACGTGGTAAGCATCCGATCCATGACATGGTAACGTCGTTGAAGCTATTCCAACCTTTCATAGCATTCCATTTATTTCAGGCTTGTCTCAAAATCCATTTTGATTGAATTCTTGAAGTCATGTTCTGTTGGTACGACCTGGATTAAAGCAACTAATTAGACGGTGATTCACAAGACTTGGGAAAATGCACGATCCAGCTCCAATGTCCACTTCCGGTCATAAAGGAGCCTGGATTGTTCATGCGGTAAGATGTTAGACATCCTCAGTTCTGGATCTCTGTTCGCAATGTTTCTTCTCCAAAATACATAAAAATGTAGGGAACAAACTACCAAACAGTGAATATTGAGTATTTGCCTTCTTGTTTACTTGACGAAAAAGAAGCTACAAAATTGGGACGTAATACAGTGTGTACAAAAATATTCAATCCATAACATAGTGGGAAACAAAAACTTAAAGAATTCTTACTGGGGTGAAAACACAAACGTTGATTTCGGCCATTTCTATGTAAATTGGGCAGAACATTAACAAGAAAGCTAGCGCATAGCGAAAAATTGACACTAATCGAGCACAGGAAAATCCCTCGGTAGATATTTAAAAAAAAATGATAACAGAGAAGAATACCACCATTGTATGTAAATAATTCGACGTTTGGTTCGGTGGTGCGTAAGTCGATTATCATAACCAAACCTACAGACGGTCAATGGTTTGTGTGACACCATAGCTTTGCTTCGGGATAGGGTAATTTTGCCCTAAGAGCCCCCACAATGCATTGGGTCTAATTTTACATATGTGGCATATAAATAGACTTAAGTCCTAAATGACATGAACAAACCCAAGTAAAAAAAACACAAAAAACTATTCAATGCAAAAATAAAATACTACATCTAGCATACATGCCAACCAATAAAAATGCTTTAATATGTTTCCTTTATTAAAAGAAAAATTAAATTAGGAATAAATGATGAGTGTTTGAATTTATACTTGGGTCCAAAATAGACCCAAGTGTGGACTTGGTATCTTTTTTTTATTGCCACATAAACTAGACCATGTCCACTTTTAGTTGCATTGGGAAGCTTTTTTTAATAGACTAAGTCTATTTCCTATGTGGCATATGAATTTTATTATGAGACTCAATTTATTGCCACATAAGCTAGACCATGTCCACTTTTAGTTGCATTGGGAAGCGTTTTTTAATAGACTAGGTCTATTTCGTATGTGGCATATGATATTTTATTAAGAGACTCAATGCATTGTGGGTAATCTAATCTGTAAAAGTAGGGTCGAGAATATTTGGGGATAAAAGGGTAAAAAATAAGAGAATTGCACGAAAGCTTTTGAGATTTGATTGTATCGGGAGAAGTAAAAGTGGGATAGAAAGATGATACGGATATTTCCTAATAAATCTCCAACTCACATTTCAACTTCCTCCTCAGTCTCTACCACTTTAAAACTTCTTCTCCACTCCCTAATACAAATTTATCTTTCCTCTCAACTCCCCATATAAATACTATTTCTATTATTATTGATTTATTTTACATAATTTATTATTCTCTTTCTTCACTCTCTCTCTTTGCATCTCTCTCTCTTCACCGAACACGATTATCTCTCTCTCCGTGTATCTCGCCGCCGGCAAACTCATTCTCCATCGCCGATGGCTTGCTCAAAATTAACATCGGATTGAGCATTTAAAATAAGTCCCCAAAACAATCTCATGTAGTGTGTTTATCAATGAGCAGGGTGGGATTGAAATTTCATTATCTGAATCCCTAATTACTTCCTCCCCAATTTGCAGAAGCCACTTGAACCCACCAAGTTACTGAGCCCGTGCTCAACGACCACCTGGGCATGAAAGTGCAACGAAGACGACACCATCGGAGACCTCAAGAAGCTGGTTGTCGCACAGACAGGCACACTCGCCGACAAGATCAGGATCCATAAGTGGTGCACCATCTAAAACGACCACATCACCGTCAAAGACTATGAGGTCCACGACGGCATGGGCCTCGAGCTCCACTACAACTAGGTTCTTTGCTATTCCCCCAATTAATTTCAATTTCGACCTAATTATGTGTAATTCTGCTCTCTCTCTCTCTCTCTCTCTCTCTCTCTCTCTTTATCTGTATTTCATTGTTTTGGGTGATTGAGAGAATAGGATGATGTTGNTCTCATTGGAGACTTTAGTATTTATGTTACTCTATTCTCTCTTGATCTCGATCGATCTCTTTCTCTGTTCAATTAATTTGGCTGGTTGGAAGAGGAAAAAAAAGGTGAAAACGTCTTTGCCTCACAGCCTGAGCTTGATCTCCTCAGCAATACCGACTGTGAAAACCGTCAAGGATGTCTCTTCACATGAGTTCGTCAAATCCTATGCCTCCCACCTCAAGCGCTCGGGGAAGGTGAGAATGTTTTTGCCTATACTAGCACTGTTATCTGTTTTTCATTTCAATTGTTTTTCTTCACTTAGTCATCTCAAGTGAATGCGTGTTTTTCGAAAAATGGTATGTATTTTGAGGTGGGACTTGTGAAAAGTCTTAATTTTTGGGGCGTACCGAGTGAAGAAGGTTTATTGTTTGTGTTATTGGTTTTTCGGTTGTTTGATTCTTGGCATTGTTTGTAGTAAATGGTTTTTGATGATGTAGTTTTACCCCGTTGATGATTTTACAATTGTTTGTCTAGAGCTTGTTTTATTGTTTGCTTGTGATGTAATGTTTTGCTCAGGCCGAGAAGTAAAGAACTAAATCGTGGAACTGATTTGTCACAGTGAGAATATTGATGATTGGATTTTGAAAAACTAACATTAGTTATCATACTGTCTTAATTAAGTTCAGTTAATGGCAGTTATGGTTCATGTTTTCTTCTCTGTTAATGAAGATCTTTATTTGGTTTGTAGTATTCTACCCCCCACAAGGTATTTTGTGCACGGAAAGGTAGTTCACATGAGTTCTCCCAAGCTATTTTACTTACTTATTTTATTTATTATTTCACGATCAATAGATGGAGCTACCCGACTGGACTGATTTGGTAAAAACTGACGTCCTCAAAGAGCTTGCGCCATATGATCCTGGTTGGTAATACATAAGGGTTACTTCCATCGCTCGAAAGATCTACTTGAGGGGAGGAATCGGTGTTGGTGCCTTCCGAAGGATTTATGGTGGAAGCAAGAGGAATGGCAGCCATCCGCCCCATTTTGGCAAGAGCAGTGGGTCTGTGGCTCGTAACATTCTTCAGTAGTTGCAGAAGATGAGTATCGTTGAGGTGGATCCACGAGGTGGACGTACGATCACATTCAGCGGGCAAAGGAATTTGGACCAAGTTGCAGGAAGAATTTAGACGTAGATTATTTATTTAGTTTAATTTATGTTTTAGCTTGTTGGGAACTTCAGTCAAAAGAAATCTGTGGACAAAGATTTTGGTTTAAATGTGTGTCTTTTTAACTTTCTGATGATTTTGCTGCTGGTTATTGCAGTGTCAACGAGATGTACTGTGCATTATGAATTATCGAGTTATATCAGTGATATGATTTTAGATTAAAAAGAAAAAAAAAAAAAGTACCAACCTTGTGTTCAAATAGTGCTCGTTTTGTCGTACTTAATACCTACTTAGTTGAAAGATAAAAAATAATGTGAAGGATATAAAGAAAGTTAAGTTTTGTAGACCTATACTGGTTTGTCTTAAAAAGGGTACTAGGTTTAAGGTATTATAGTAATTGATACCTAACATTTAGTACCGACTTTGGTCAAAGAAACATGAATTACTTTGATTTTGGTAAACGTTTATGAGATTATACCGACTCAATAGTATAACGATACTCAATATATATTCAATATGTACCTATCAGTATTTACCTATTTTGGGGTCTTCAATATCTGTTTTTAATCAGTTAGTACCTACTTTGGTCAACAAAAATGGATTATTCAATTTTTGTCAATATTTTTTAAATTAGTATCAACCCTAAAGTTAGATAATACTCATTAAATGGTGTTTTAGTACCAGATATCGGGTTCTTCAGTACCATCTCCGATGAACGTAAAAAAAAATAAAAAAAATAAAAAAAAATAAATAAATAAATTACGTAAAATGGTACCAGTTTTTCCACAAAAAGTACCACGTCTTCTTCCATGTAGTACCAATTATTGATCAATTAGTACCTACTTTGTAGAAAGAACAAAAAATGGATTACTTCAAATTCTACCTATATGTTTTAAGTTCCACTATTTTTCAACCAAATCACACGTGAACGATCTGTTAGTATATTAATTAATCATTCTACCTATATTAATTAATATTTTTCAACTAACTCCGACGAACATATAAAAAAAATCTCGTAAAATGGTACCAGTTTTTCAACAAATAATACCACTTCTTCTTCTATGTAGTATCAGTTATTGAGGAATTAATACCTACTTTGTAGAAAGAACAAAAAATGGATTACTTCCAAATTGGTCAACATTTGCAATATTAGTACCAGACCTAGAGTAAGATAATACCGCAATTATGGCGTCCTAGTACCAGATATCGGGTCGTCAGTACCAACTCCAACAAAAAAAAACCGATTTTTGTAAAATAGTACCTATTTGGACGTAAATAATACCACCTTTTCTTCTTCGTAGTACTATTTATTGATTAATTAGTACCAACTTTTTGTCAACGAAAATGGATTATTTAATTGTGGTCAATATTTATAATAATTGGTACCAGATATAGAGTAAGACAGTACCAGCTTTCAGTGTTTTAGTACCAGATATTGGGACTTTAGTACCACTTGTAATGAAAACATAAAAACACCAAATTTCGGTATAATGTTTATATGACAATAATCACTCTCACATTATTTTCTATGAGATTTATAATGTGTTTAATTAAATTTAATCGCAAATTGGTCACAAATTCAACACTAATGAGAAATCACGACAAATACACTTCATTTCATTGAATGACACACTTCATCTCATAGAATCATCATACATAACTACTCCAAATTCTACCTATATGTTTTAACTTCCACTATTTTTCATCCAAATCACGCGTGAACGATTCACGTGTCATGGTAGACATGAAGGATTAGAGAAATCACGATCCTTAAAATAATACCTGTTTTAACCAATATAGTACCGCATCTTCTTCTACGTGGTACCTATTTTTAATCGATTAGTACCAACTTTTGGTCAAAAAAAATGGATAATTCAATTGTGGTCAACATTTGCAATAATTGGTACCAGACCTAGATTAAGATAATACCATCATTCGAGGTTTTAGTACCAAAAATTGAGACTTTAGTACCACTTATAATGAACACATAAAAACACCAAATTTCGGTCTTAAATGATGTTTATATGACCAATAATCACTCTCACATTATTTTCTATGAGATTTAAAATGTTTTTAGTTGAGTTTAATCGTAAAATGATCACAAACTCGACACACTAATGAGAAAATACTACTAATACACTTCATTTCATTGAATGACACACTTCAACATTTCATTGAATGACACTTCAACTCAAATAATCATCATACATGACTACTCCAAATTCTTAAAATAGTACCAGTTTTGGGAAAAATAGTACCGGCCTGCATCCTTAGGGGACACGGGCCGGGGAATCTGTTCTCCCCCTTGAGGTCGCTCTTCCTCCTTGGGTTAGAGACCTTCGGTTAGATACGTGATGAAGGATCGTGTGTTACGTCTAGCTCGATTCGCTCAAAACCCGCGCCGACGCCTTGGTTCCTTTGCGATAGGTTGCTAATACGTGCGCCGACGCCTTCGTACTTCGCGATAGGTGTGACGAAACTCGGATGTTGGTCCTATTCCAATCACTGTGACGAAACTCGGATGTTGGTCCTATTCCAATCACGAACTCTATGTAAACTCACAGGAGAAAACACACGAGAACTTTGAACACAATGTTCGACTCTTTTCTATTTTCTTCAACATATTCGAAAATAATAGGGTACATGGGTATTTATAGATGCTAAAATAAATCTAGTCCTAGTCTAAATAGAACTCCTAAATCATGCAAGTAAATAATTCCTAATGCAACTAAACATCTTGGGAATAAAGACTTTCCTAACAATTAAAAGACTAATAGGAAAATTAATAGGCACATGCCTTTTATTTGGATTCCTAACCAAACTAAGACTCATAAATATGCTATGAGAATCTCGCCCAAAATCCCTTGTTTGATCCCCAAGTCGCGCGCGCACCGAAACCCTAGCCGCCCTACGTGTCGCGCGCCGCCTTGCCATTCCTAGTCCTTGTCGCGCGCGGTAATGCGCGCGTTCCATCCCCACGCGTCGTCCATCGCCAGCGCTGCTCGACCGCGGGTTCCCGTCCGCGCGTGGTCGATCCTCGCGCGAGTGCTTCGCACGCCAGCACTCCCAGCCTCGTCCTCGCTACAGTTCATCTCCTTGCGCGCGTCCTCGCCATGCGCGCGATTGCCACGCACGTTTGCCCCATCGCCACCGTCGGTCCACCCGACCAATTCCTCGCGCGTGGTTCCCGCCATCGCGCCCTCTCCGCACCAGCTCCTCGTGCCCATCGCACCATCCCATACCAATCGCTCGTCCGTCCCATCGCAACCGCGCCCCGTGCACGCTGTCCACCCTACATCCACCCCTCGTGCACCATTGGCCTTAGCTCGCATTCGTCGTACGCGTCGCTCTCTTGCGCACGCCTTGCACCAATCACCCACCTTCCCAGGCACGATCACCTCACTCTCGTCGTCGGCCCAAGCCTCGTGTTCACGCGCACTTTCCGTCGCGCACCTTTTCTTCACTCGGTCCCGACTCGCACGCCTCGCGGCTCGATTGCCGCCTCCCGTCGGTATACGCGCCTTAGTGCTTGCGCACACCCTCCTAGCCCGTGCCCGAGCCCTTTCTCGCCTAACCTCTCGCCATCTCTCGAGGCCATCGTGGTTCTCGTCCTCGGGTTCGCCGGGGTCAATGACCACATCCGCATCAATACGCTCCTACGCTCACCCTAGCTTTAGGAGCTACCTTGTCAGACAAGGAAAACAAACAAAACTATTAAATGTGGAGGAAACAAACCATGAAGAATCTTGATAGTGTTATGCAGAGTACCCAGGAGATAGAGAGAAAGTGTTCGACAATAAGAGAGTTCATTTTACATACATTAATACATGTGGAAAGGAGATCCATTAGTAACCCCCAGACTATTATTGAGCGACTTAGAAAGCTTTTTGACTGTAGATCAATTACAGAAATCGCGATTCTCAAAATAGTACCAATTTTGGGAAAAATAGTACTGCTTGTTCTTCTACGTAGTGCCTGTTTTTTATCAATTAGTATCAATTTTTGGTCAACGAAATTGGATTATTCAATTGTGGTCAGCATTTGCAATAATTGGTACCAAACCTAGAGTAAGATAGTACCAGCTTTCAGTGTTTTAGTACCACATATCGGGTCTTTAGTACCACTTGTAATGAACACATAAAAACACTGAATTTTGGTCTCAAATGATGTTATGACCAATAATCACTCTCACATTATTTTATATGAGATTTAAAATGCTTTTAATTGACTTTATTCGCAAATTGGTCATAATGTTCACACACTAATGAGAAAACACTACTAATACACTTCATTTCATTGAATGACACACTTTATCTCATAGAATCATCATACATGACTACTCCAAATTCTACCTATATGTTTTCACTTCCACTATTCTTTATCCAAATCACGCGTGAACGATCTACGTGTCATGGTAGACATGAAGAATTAGAGAAATCACGATTCTTAAAACAGTACCAGTTTTGGGAAAAATAGTACCGCTTGTTCTTCTACGTAGTGCCTCTTTTTGATCAATTAGAACCAACTTTTGGTCAACGAAATTGGATTATTCAATTTTGGTCAACATTTGCAATAATTGTTACCAAACCTAGAGTTAGATAGTACCAGCTTTCGGTGTTTTAGTACCAGATATCAGGTCTCTAGTACCACTTGTAATGAACACATAAAAACACTGAATTTTGGTCTCAAATGATGTTTTATATGACCAATAATCACTCTCACGTTATTTTATATGAGATTTAATATATTTTTAGTTGACGTTAATCGCAAATTGGTCATAATCTCGACACACGCATTGAATGACGCATGTCATGTCATAGAATCATCATACATGACTACTCCAAATTCTACCTATATGTTTTAACTTGCACTATTTTCATCCAAATCACGCGTTAACGATCCACGTGAAGAGGTAGACATGAAAGATTTAAAGAATCTAAAACTTTTGTTAAATTTTGAATTGAGATTTTGTAAATATAGAGACCGAGATTTTAATGTTAATTGTTGCTTCTAAGAAAAAAATAAAAATAAAAACATACACACTTAATAAATCTTACTCGAATTTTTTAAATAATAAAATAAACTAAAGCCCGAAATTTAAGGTGGCATTTAATGTTGTATGATTTTTAAAGAAAAAATAAGAAAAATAATAAAACTTACTATTTATAGACTGCATTAAATTATGACCTATTTTTTTGCTACTATTTTTCGTAAATAGTAATTCTTATTATATATATATATAGATTTTAACATATTACAATATAGTTTGATTTCTCTTTATTTTTAGGATGAGAACATCACGAAATATGATAATGAATGGATGGTAGTATACTCAATTACAAAATCAAAATAAATATAACCAATAAATAATTTATAGCATGAAATGATCCTAATATCATGCATATAGTTTATTTTGCCGTCACTCATGTATTATAAAGATCAAATCTAATTGTACCAAAAAAATATATCAAATCTAATATCTAGAACAAAAAATGCTGAATTTGCCAATTGATTTAGTCGAAGTGAAAAATCTATTATTTTTAATCGGCAATTGTTTTACAAAAGAGAAGGAAATATATTTGAATAACGCCATGAATTTGTCCACAAACTTATAATGGAAAAAAAATAAAATATATTAGCTTTAATCACTTGCAGAAAGTTTCGGAATGAAAAAAACAAATGGAATGCGGAATTGTAGGGATTAACATTAGAGAATTCAAATTTAATGATAAAATCACCATGGATTTAAATTACTACCCATGACATAAGGATGCATTTAATGTTGTCCAATTTATTTTAATTTTTTTTAAGAATTTACTAAATATAGACTGCAATTAATATTCCTGATTTTTTTTGTTGCTATTTTTTATAAATGTTAATTCTTATTATATNATTGTGTATGGTAGGAATAAAAAAAGTATAACAAAACTAATAAAATAATGTAAATGGTTAGTTGTAGTGAGTGTAATGTAATAAGTTATTTTATTTTTGATATATTTTAAGAAGAGGGAGTTCAATATTATAGGAATAGGGGGTTCGAAGGAAAAAATAATAATCTAGAAGAAGAATTTAAAAAGTGCTTTAGAAATTTTAGAAAAAGTTGCCCAAGATGATATAATCCATGAAACCAAGAGTGTGAAAAAGGGTTGGTAAATGCATGATAAGAACATGTAAACAATAAATAAAGACACATTTATTTTATCCTAACCTAAAAAGTAAACGAGCCCTCAAGAATGAAAACCAAATTGAAGCCAAGCGGCAGGCAGACATCTAAAATATATGATAAGGTGCAAATTCCATCAACTGCAAAAAGTTATTTAGCCAACAAAAATATAAGTAGCACAAACTATATATCAACCCATGTCTAAGAGTGAGTGTTTTCGATAACTCACTCGAGATATAATGGATATTTAATAAATTTCAAAATTTCATCATAAAACTATTCTATGATTTCTTGAATATTTTACATCACAAACGGTTGGTATACTATATTTGTATGTGCACTAAGATACTATATTTGTATGTGCACTATCTACAACAAAAAAAAATGCCAAAACTATAAGGGGCAAACAATAGATTTGGAATGCTTCGGCCAATCTTCTAACAAACACAACAAGAAACAGACTTCAAAATTGAGTTCTTAATTGGTTGAGTAATTTCTGCACATTTTCGAGTTTCTCGTTTAGCTGTCTGACGTTATCAAGGCATTCGGGAGGAGAGGTATCCGAGCGACTCAATTCAAGGGCTAGTGCAGCACACTTTGTCTGTGAATCAAGAATTGCCTCTTCAATAGAAGCCACTGTTGACTCAGTGACATCAGCACTTTGATCGGCCGCAAAAGGGGATGGACTGCTGACCCTGCTTAGCTTATCGGGTGTAAACATCTTGTCAAAACTTTCACTTCCTGCTGGTTTTACAATTAGAAAATCAGCTACAAATACATGCTTTAAAAGAGTCGGACATGCCAATACCAAAAGAAGGAACAAATAAAATGCTAGTTTTTGTCTGTGTTTACAATAACATGAGTTTTGACCACAATTACAGTCGTTTTTTGTCATAAAACACAATGTATTTTTTGTATTTACAAAATGTGAATTTTTTGTAAATTTCCTGGAGAGAGAGAGGGAGAGTTTTAAGGGAGATGCCCAAGAGCCATGAGGTTCGGTCAAGTTACAAAAGAACACAGCCGCCTTTCATAATTTTGAAACACTTACGTTTTGTATTACCACAACAAATAGTCCCTTCTTGGGGATGCAATTCGGGAAGACTAAATAAGAATAAAAGGAGAGGATAATCCTTTAAGATCTCTGAAATTGCATTAGCCACAAATATGTACAAGTTATAACAGAAAATTACCCAAGTTACTTAGTTGACTGATGGCTGCTGTCCCAACAGATCCTTCTAATTTGAGAATTCGCAAAACCCCAGCAGCAATTCTACCCACAGAGTCAACCTCCGACTTACACAGCATAGCTAGATGTTGCAGCTCATCCTTCTTCACTACAGCCTCGATCTATGTAGTACATAAGTTTGCACAAGTGAAACAGATAACACAAAAAAGGTAAATAAATAAACATATAATAAAAAAATTGAGGCCTATACTGAAACTCTCTTTTACCGGCTCATCCACTGAGAACCTCAAATTTTCCACCACCAGCTTCACTGTTGCACCATCATCTTCTTCTTCAGAAGTCACGATATCAACTTCTACATTGACCCCACCATGTCTCTCGACAATTTGCTTTCCACTTCTGGGCAAACCATTCTGCAGGATCCCTTCATTAGACATGCCGTTTGACAATTCCTGATGAGGCCTGGGCTTTAATATCTGCAAACCTTCCATGCCAACCTGAAAGAATTTGACATAATCACAAATTGTAATGCCATTGAAAATTTTGTTGAGGCGGTTTAATAGGTAATTGCTGCTGTAAAAGCAACAGTTCAGTTTCATCAAATCAAGCAGCTAATAAGTTTTCACTAAATAGATGTTGGTTGACAATAGAAACGAGGATATGCAGAAAACAATCAAGTGAACTAGAAAAATAAAAATAAAATCAAGCATCAGCTAATTAAATCTGAAGAAGGAAACCTCAACATCTTGTGGTAAAATTCATTCTCGAGCATTTTCATAGGTAAAATGGATCTACTCATTAAATCAACAAACAAAGAAATGATAATAATAAGGGTTAATAACTTTTTCCCATCTGAACTTTCATGTTTTTGGCGCATCACCATATGAACTTTTTTTTTTACAAACCACCATCTAAACTACACGAATTTGTCAAATTGGCCTCTAAACCGGATATAAAAGTGGTTTTGACTAAAAAAAGCAGATTTCTAAGGGTATTTTAGGAGTTGTATATGTTTGTCACCCCTCTTTGACCAGATCACCATTTCTTCATCGTTCTTCCTAAATCAGATCTGAAAATTGGCCTGCAGCAAGAAAGCACATCTCCAGCAAATCGCCCCTCATCTCCTTCCTCAAAAATTTCCGTCGTCTCTCTCTCTTCTTGGCAGAGACGAGCAGCAACAAACTCGGCGACCTCATCCTGAGCAGCGATTTCGGTGACTTTTCCTGCAGCCATCGTCTTCTCCGACCATCGTCCGGCCGCCTTGAAGCCAACACCTTCGAGAGCTGCGTTTTCCGACGGCAAGAGCATCGAGATGGAGCCCTGTCTTCCGGCGACTTGCAGGCGAGCAGGCGCGGCGAGAAGCCCTACGAGGTGGATGCTCAGGCTGAATCGTGGTTCACGTCGCGGGTGGGATGGCGGCGGTTGGGGCGGGATGACGGCGACCCGACGGCTGATTGTTGGTGGCGGCGAATTTGGGGCTGAGATTGGGCAGTGGGTTGATCGTATTTCATTGTTTTGGGCTTCGTGGTTCACGTCGCGGTTGGAATGACGGCGGTTGGGGCAGGATGACGGCGACCCAACGGGTTATTGTTGGTGGCGTCGAATTTGGGGTTGAGATTGGCAGTGGGATGACCGACGACCGAGCAGCGAAATTCCGACGACAACCCTGACAGTGTTGCAGAACTCGAAGGAACACTTGAGGATCGATTAGGCAACACAGCTGGAAACTCGTCCGGGTAGGCGGAGGACTCGGAAAAGGCACTTGAGGGTCGATTAGGTGTTGCAAGAGATACGGTCGGAGAAGATAAACCAACATCTTCATTTTTTATTTTTCTTTTTAATATCCGGTTTAGAGGCCAATTTGACAAATTCGTGTAGTTTAGATGGTGGTTTGTAAAAAAAAAAAAGTTCATATGGTGATGCGCCAAAAACGTGAAAGTTCAGATGGGAAAAAGTTATTAACCCTAATAATAATAATAATATTGAAAAATGGAAATGTTAATATAAATAAACCTAATAGAATAACAGAAGCAAGTCCTCACAGTAATCAACTCAACAGGATATTTCTGCTTTCCGCTTGGTTTTATGCTGACAGCCACATGCTTGGGGCTGCTTTTCGCTTTGATATGCACACTCCTAAACGTAGTATGCCAGCTCCTCTCTTCTCTTTGATAATCTTCAGAGAATCTATCTTCCATCTCTTGTGCGCCTTCAAGTGCAAATAACCAATCTTTCAATTCAACTGATACATCCACATCATCAGGTGCACCCAAATGCAATAGCTCTTTCTCCTTTCCATCTTCCATATTCCCATCTAAGTGGAGACACGGAGAAAGGTAACCGAATAAGTAGTGTCAATATGCGAGAAATATGAATGAGAAAAATATGATAGTAGCTAAAATAGTTGCTAGATCATACTCTCTTTAAGTCCATCCATAACAAGCGGTGATGCTTTGAAGAGCTTTGACAAAGGTCCATCAGATAAACGCTCTAATCCTCTGGTAAGACCCTCCCCTGGCCCACCATCAGGCCCAAGAATCCCAAACCTATGAAGCAAGGATTCTGCATAATTCATTCCACCGCCAAGCCGGATACCGGCAATACAGGCTGATATGTTTAAACTGTGGCATTCAATATCCTGCGCACTATATGGGATGACGTGGACCATGGAAATATCAAGAAATGGCACGATAGAATGGCGGTTTGACTGATAAATTTTACTATTTTGAACCCAAAAAACAGCTCGTAACTGACCACATTCTTTACTGTTGGGAATTGTTGAGTTTGACCCCTCCGAATTTCGGATGTTGTTCACGGTGTCTGTGCATTCCACCTCGACTCTCTCCCAAAGTATATTGGATGAAATTGCCATTGCACCACCGAAAGTTCTATGTCCCACTTTGATAAACAGGTCATTGCCCATAAAACAGACTAAGGGAACTCCTTGACGGTTGGAAGAAGATTCTAGAAACCTTAACTGCAAATCCTTCACTAATAAAGTTACAGCAGTATCAGCAGGAACTTTGTCCATAATGTTTCCACTAAAAGACTCATTTCTATCTCCCTTCAAGGTTTTGTTTTTCCCTACTAAAGCTAGCCTCTCACTAATTGCACCAAAATATGCATATAGATCCAGAACAAAGAATAATTGCTCAACTGATGTGTTGGATATATATTGCTGAGAAGAAAGTCCGACCCGGACAACCCCACCTGGAGGTGGGACATTCATTAGAGGACTACCGTCTGCAGTAACCATCGCCACTTCAAAACACATCCCTTTCATCTCTACGCATTTCCATAGACCTGAATCCACTTGAGACCTCGACTGTGTCTGCAGCGACAGACTAATCAAAGAAGCTTCCGCAGTTAGTTTCTTCTGGCTGGCATCAACCGGTTGGTTTTCCCAGAGACAAAAGCACACAGGGTCCTTATCAAGGTTGAGTAAACCTAATTTCAGAGAGGGTTCCTCGCAAAACATGAAATCTTGAATATGGAGCCTTGCCCCAGAAAAAAAATCTTGGAGTGCTGTACTACGACTTTTGGACAGCTGCGTGCGATTCTCCATCTGAAGTGGAATGGCAACATCTAAACCTTTAAGGTTTAAGAGAAAGGAATTTATCGAGAAGTCTGGCAGTACACAATTGGGATTAACTACAATTCCATCAGCCAAAAATGATGCTATCCTGAAACAGGATTCTTCCTGAAGATGAATCTGCAATGATGAAAGGGCAGAGAATCAGTAGTGAGCAGAGCACTGGTCATCGGTGTCAGAAATTTGCACCCCAAAGAAAGAGAGATACAATGAGTGCTGACCATGAGTGGCTGGCAGTCAACAACAGTCCTGGAAGCAAAAGTTGGTGGATTTGGGGAGGGTCGAAGCTGGAGACAGTGAAGAGAGATCAGAGGCACACTACAATTTAATTTCCAATGCTGGTACTCTAGGGGATATATAGGAGAAAGAAAGTTCTGAGCTGCATAGAAAGAAAAATCACGTAATTAGCAAAATCTGAGAATGCTCAGTAAGATTAAGTGAACATGTCAGATCCTTAACAAGATTGAAGAAAGTAAATAGTACCAAACTCTGGGATATGTATTATATCGTCGGAAGCATCCTGCATTGAAGGTTGTATTAAGGTGCATGGAGGACGTGAAAATGGATCCCTGCATTCCGGCCCACATAAATATGATCCAGTTTCTTTCAATAGGTAACAGAAGTATATAGAAAGAAATAGAATCCTAAAACTAACTAGATATAAGAACTACGAGAAAATAAAGGTAAAATAAGAAGACTAACAAAACATGCATAAGAGTTTAAAAGTTACTGCAGCTTCAGCTGCTACCAAACTGATAAATGTAAGTTCCTGATTGGAGGTCTGGACCATGCCATTAAGATATCAATAACCCTCATGTGGACGATAAATTAAAAAGAGATTCTTATCCAATGTCATATTTATGACTTTCCTTTTTTCCCTTCTGTTTCTAATCCAGAGCATAAAACTATTCTTGGACAGAAAAAGGGTCTCCAATCAATTAGATCAAGAATATATCAAGCATAAGACTGCAGCCAACATACAGATTAGATCTTACCTCAAAAACAACCCCCCTATAGTAACTCGAGTCAAGTACTTGGCATTTTCTCCATCAGATACACTTGCCTGGATCAAGAAAACAAGTGTTGGTACCTTCTAATGCATGGTATAAATGAATGCTGGACGAGGACTAAGAGTTGATAAATGCATTGGAAGTATTATAGTCTCAGTCAATCATAGACAAACCCGAGAGAAGAATAGTGACTGCATCAAAAGCTCTAGCTGGAATTCTGCATATCACACAGACTTGTTAGACTACAGCCAGTAAATACCTCCTGAGAAAAGGATTGCATCTTCCATAGTACAAGTATTGGTGGAAATCAAGTAGAGAACATCCTAAATTATTCAATGCTATCTGATTGCAAAATAAAATTGAAGAGAAAAATAATACATGTCTGTGACAATTGAAACTAACCAGCATCCTTTATGCACAGAAATATGTGATCCACAATTATAGAGACTAATGAACGACCAGCTGCTTCTGCAGAACGCTGCCAAGCGAGATGTAACATAGTGAATAGTTGTTTGGTGTTCCCTGGTATAAAGGAATCCTAAAGTTTTATCTGTAAAATAAGCAAGAGGTAACATTGAAAGAAATAATACTTGCTGCGCACTTGTATGCACGACTCCCCTATTTAAACAAACATACAATCCCGTAAAGAAGCGGAGAAGAGCTCGTAACCCTGCTCAAATGGAGGTGCTACTGTTAAACTGTCTTACTAAACATCAAAAGAAGTAATCAAAATTAAATTCTTGACACTTGCCTGGTTCACTTAAGGCAGGGCAAACAGCTTCTGTTATATGTAATTGAAATTCCAGTCCTAGAGGACTGTTTAGAGCAGTCCTCTTAATTGTAATCTGAATATAGTCAAAGAATTTTAGTAGATGGTCAATTCTACCCTCACTAGCATCGACATGAATTCACAGCATGCAGACATTCAAAGAGCACGGGGAGACACACACACACACAGAGACAACACACACGCAGACACAAATAAAGAGAGAAAGAGAGGGATCGTTTAGATAAGAAAAGAACTGTCTATTTCAATATATGGTAAATTTTCAAATAAACGAGAAGGCAAACACCCATACATAGGCGTCTCCTGAGATCCCCTCAATGAACCGCTCCCCTCCAAAGAAAGCTCGTTTTGCACCATCTTCATCTTTTCTATTACCCCCTTCCTCAAACTTGGAAAAGTTTACATCCGAGAACATATCTGGATGAGGCAGAAGGTCAATAGACAAATGTTCCCACTCAAGTTTCTGTGAATAATGAAACAGGGAATAGGTTATAATTCATGAATTGAGGAGCGGAACAACGTTTAGAAAAATCAAGCACACGGACCTTTTTCCTTACATGTCAGTAGAGTGAAGATATGCAGTAACAAATAAACAAAATCAGTAAACATAACAAGGATTAGTTAACTTGTTAATTTGAAGACATATATGAAGTTCTTGTCACTTGAAAAATCCATGGCTACAGACGGTTTTCCTTACTTCTCAGTAGAGTGAAGAAACACAATAACAAATAAACAAAATCAGTAAACATAACAAGGATTAGTGAACTTTTTTACTTTGAAGACATAGATGAAGTTCTTGTCACTTGAAAAATCCCTGGCTTCCTTAAGATTCACTACCTGTTAACAGCAGTGAATTCTCATAAGAATTTGCTCAGCAACAAACAAATCTGAAGTGAAAAATATACAACTATATTTTATAAGCGGAACAGATCACAACCTCCCAGCTTTCATTTGTTGTATAGAGAAGAAGATTACGAATAGTGATGGAAGCCATAGGTGATGCCCTGTTGGGTTGGAGGTTAATAGACTCATAGAAGAAATAAATAAACAAAATTTACTGATAAAATATTAAAATAAAAGGGTTTAATTCCCTTATCACTATCACAATACTTTGTCATTTATTCACCAATAGTTAGGGGGAGTTGGGTTTTGGATTCTCATATGGTTCTCCCAATACTGAGTTAACAAATATCTTATGAAACATTTAATCTGGCTCTTGAGTTGTATATGGACAATAAACATATCAAAATGATAGGCTACATATCAACTCCTCAGAATAATATGTGACACAAGATCAGTCAATCTCATGTTGCCTAGAAACTTCATAAATTGGGAAGGCCGCAAGAATTTACCAACTTGATTCTCCTCTTTGTCGAGCTCCGCCATGAGTTTCAAGTAAGAGATTCACAGTCTGAACTTGTAATGTCATTCCATCTGCAATCTGATAGATACAGATAAAATCATGGTCGTATATATTATTATACAGCTCATAGTTGTCGAATTCTAGAAATTGCTGTGAATAAAAGAACAGAAAATTAATTGTCCAAAATACAGTAACACCAAATGACTTGCATCATAAAATAAGTAGCAGAAATTAACCTTGTCTGCAAATCCATACCCGCTACCCTTGCCCGTACTTACTGAGGAAGGAGTACTGCAGAGAAAAATATAACAGAATTCAAGTTTCATAGCTATTCAAATCTAATGATGAACCAAAACTGACATTGTACCTGCTTGAGTTGTTAGATGCATCTACATCATCATTTTCCTCCAACACAAGGTCAAGCCTATCGATTTGCACCACAATTGGTTCTACTTGTACATTGCTCACCGAAGGAAGCTTAAAAAATTGGATTTAACACTTTAGTAACCCCAAGGTTGAACTAGAGTCGAACTCGAAATAAAACAATTAAAGCCCTCATTTTTGTTCAATTTTTTCTCGGAAATAAAATTGTATAAACGGTATAAGTTAACTCACAATAATCTCCAATTTGCCAACTTTGGCTGTGGTCACATTCAGCGCCGGCGGTAATCCCACACTAGCATGCAACGCATCTCCGTTTATATCTACCACAAATATTTCCCAATTATTTATCCAAAATTCCCCACATTTAGCTCCACAAAAACACTCGTACAAAACACATCTCACATGAAATTGAAAGAAATATCAACAATCAACCTAAATTAGACAGCTGTGCGGTGCGCCCCTGCAATTTGAACTGATCTCTGCTGAACGATTTCAGCCAATACTTGAGCGTGTATTCTAGAGCTCGGGCCAAGATGGACTCCATCTCCGTTGCGAACCTTATCGATCAGATGAGAAAAGACTAACGCCGCCGATTCCGGAAAGCGTTGCCGGGAAACCAACAAATCGGCGGATCGGAGGACGGGTTCGAGAGGAGAAAAAGGGGGAGGTCAGGTGATACTGTAATAGACATTCGGAGAGAGAGACAGAGGATGTTTTGGTGTCACGTGCGAGATGGGTTTATAAGGCTATGTAGAATGGTTGGCACGTGCGGAAGAATCTCTGTGGCCCAGTTGCAGCAAAGCTTTCGGCGTGAGCTGCAATCAATTTTAATTTGATGGTGGTAAATTAGTTCTTCCATCGTGATGGGTGTAGACATGGCCACGGGCCGGTGAACCGTGAACCGGTACCGGCCCGGACCAAACTGGCACCGATACCGGCATGAACAGTACACGGCCCGTGAACCGGACCGGGCCCAAAGCGGTCCGGTTACGGTTCAATGGTTTTCATTAACCGGGCTGGGCCGGGCCGGGACCGGTTTCGGTTTTTCCGACGAGTCGTAGTTCATTTTTTTTTTATTTTTTTTTTAACCCGGCGGTTCAACGAACCGGCCCATAGGAATTGCCGGGCCGGTTACGGGTCTAACAATTGAGGCCCGCCGACCCGCCGGGCCGGGCCCGGACCCGGCACCTGGCCATGTCTAGATGGGTGAAAGGGGTGACCATGTAGATGATTATTACCCGCTGAGTGTTGGATCTCGCAGTGCTGACAGATACTAAGCGCGGAAGAAGTGTCCTTTTGTCGGTTATGGTTGTTTAATTTTGGGATGAGAAGAAAGTAAAATTTGGTTCCACCGTTTTGCTATAAAATCAACAGTTGTCACCATAATAGAGTCAATTTTCTATATACAACAATTAAATCATACTATATTCATAAAATTATTAATATTTAGTTAAATAATCAGAAAATATAATATAGTATAGTTTACTTGTTGGCTTCATAACAAAACCGGTTGGTTCCAATCATCAATAAAATCTAACATATATTGTAAGAGTGGATATAAATATTTTTACCTCAACCTAAAAACCGAAATAGTCTTACACACTCCCAAATAAAAAGTTAATTTTTTTATCCCATAAAATGTGAAAATAATTATGTGATAAACTATGCAGTAGACAGGCGAAGATAATTGATAAAATGCGAAACAATTATGCGGTAGTTATACGACATAAGGACGAAGATTAATAAACTGTGAAACAGTTATACGGTCAACTATGCGACAAACAGGCAAACATAATTGATAAAGTACGAAATAATTATGCGACAGACTATGAAACACAACAAAGATAATTGATAAAGGATGCGAGCAGCCCATGTCGCATAATGCGAAACAACTATGCGACATAAATTCTTTCTTGGTCGATGCTTGTTCTCTGAGCTCCTCGATTGTGTCTAAGGCTGCCTGCATCAGCTCCTCATTCTGGCTACGATCCTATGCACTCGACCTCTGAGATTCCAACTCCACCTCGACCGGTAATAATGCTTATATCCCATAGACCAGGCTGAACGGGGTTTCTCCTATTGTCGACCTAGGGGTCAGTACTTTATGCCTAAAGTACTACCGATGTGAGCTCGTCAACCCACGCCCCCGAGGCCTTCTTGAGCCTTGTCTTCAATCCATTCAATATGATTCTGTTGGTGACTTCGACCTGTCCATTGGCTTGTGGATGGACTACAAAAGCAAAATGTTGCTCGATCTTCATGTCATCGCACCATGGTCGGATATGCTTGCCATTAAATTGAGTTCCATTGTCGGATACCAACTGTAGTGCCCCATTTGCTTCTCCCGAATTTTAGCATTTTATTTCATTATTTGGCTCGGTTTTATTTGTTTAATTGCTTGAATTTATTTTATTATTGCTTGCTTTTATAATTATGTTCTCGCTCTTATTTTATTATTTCGTGCTTGCGATTTTATTATTTTGTCGTTCTGTGCTATGCTTGAATTTTTTTTAACTGCTAGTTAGTTTCGTTCGAAATTCTTCGGTTAATCGCATGGTATTTTCAAGTAGTTTTTTCCAAAAGAGCCTTGAGTTGGAGACTCGGCCCAATTTATTTGAAAATTTTCTCGGTCTATTCGGATAAATTCTTTTGGCCCGATTCTTGGAATTGTCGACCCTTTTGTGGCTTTGCTTCCGGCTAATTGAAGGAAAATTTCTAGCCCAGCTGAGTTATTTATTTCAGACCCAATTTGAGTTAATTATATTCCTTGGCCCAATCGAATTTAAATTCTGCAGCCTTAATTTTTTCTTTTCCCCACGTGTGCCAACTGAGTCTTTTCCTTCCCTCAACAGTTCAAAATTTTACTGCGATTCGTCCATGAGATTTCACCTCTTACATTCATCTCACTCCTTAATATATCTCAGCTGAGGATGAGTTAGCAACTTCATGCAAATTTTAATCTTTGATCTTACATCTTAAAATCGCAGTCTGCTCTCGTTAAAAAATAAAAAAATGAAAAAAAATCGTCGTCTGTTTATTATCTCTCTCTCTCTCTCTCTCTCGCTCGTCCCTTTTTTTTTCGATCACCGCAGCTGGCGTTCTTTCTCGAGCCTCCAGCAGTAGTGGCCACACGCAAGCAGTCCACGAGCATCCTGCAGCATGCCCGTCACAGCAGCATGTCTGCCATAGCCAAGGAGCTTGAGCCGCCGACCACGTCCGCCATCATCACAGCAACTCTGACTGTGAAGACAAAATTGTTTCAAGCACCGAGAGAACCGAAAGTGCCCCTTCTTTCAAAGAGAGGAGGATGGGTTATTCACATTTCATTTGATGGTCAGAGGCGAATTGAAAGCTAAGCAGTGGGAATTCTAAAGATTCCCTGGGAGAAAAAGAGAAATGTCTCCTACGTTACCCATAATATGGGGAAGTATCGACGTAATTTCATAGAGTCATTCAGTCTGAATGCTACATGAAGAACATAAGCCAGATGACGAAACGGGAAACCCTAGGATGTAGAAGACCATACCATGAGTGATTCGCCAGATTTAGATTCATATGGATATCCGTGTGGTATTTCATTGTACGATAGCCGTCGATCCCAGCCGTGAGTGTCGATAGTTTGTCGCCGGAGGTACCACAACAGCTGGTCGATAGTCATCGAGTTCAATGAAGAGCCTGTTAGCAAGCAGCGACGTGTTCGAGGAGTTTCTTCGAGGGTGCCGTTCGTTTTGTTCGTCTCGACCGATTTTTCCAACCGAGCACGTAGATTCCCGAAGGAAGGTAATCGGCGAACCCCCTTATTGTACTCGTGTGTATTTTCTCGTCGGATTATTTCTTGTTCGGAATCGATTCTTCGTTTGGTTGATCGTTATATTTGTCGATTCGTATGTCATTTTTATTCGTTCATTGTGTTGTGATTCCGTGAATTGACGTGGATATTCGAAACTCTCAATTTTGAAAATCGAGCCTCGAGTCGCTATAGTGAAATCGTTTTACTGTTTCGAGCCTTGCCGTCGTCATTTTGCCGTTCGTCTATTTTTCGAGTCGTTTGATGTCTTTTCGCTTTTCGAACCAAAACACCCATTTTTAATTTTTCTGAAACTCTGATGTTTATTATTATTTTTCGAACTCCACGTCGCGTGCAAAATTATCATCGAAAAATCAGTCGCCGGTTCTCTGCAGAACAGTTGCTGTTGTGCAAGGCCATCGGACTTCTCCCTGTCGTAGGCCTTCCTTGTTTTTCTCTTATTCCCGCAGTCTTAGTTGTGGTGTTAGGCCCATTTTTGTTTATTTTCTTTCCTGCAGCCCATTTTCTCTCTCTTTAATTCTCTGCCCCAGTAACCCATTTACGGCGGCCCAAATCCTCGCCTAGTGTTTTGCCAGCGAAGAGACGCGCGAGCCGTTCGGCCCCCCTGCAGCCCGCGCACAACCCGTCCCCTCTCTCTAGAAGCGGCCCGCGTTCAAGCTCGCAACCCGCACCCTGACCCGCTCGCCCTTCTGCCCATTTTTTTTTTTTCTTGGGCAGGCTTATTTGCGGCCCAAATTATGCGCGAGGCCCAATTTTTCCATGGCAGCCTTTGGCCTAGTTCGGCTTGATGGCCTTTTTGTGTGCCGGGAGGTTTATTTTTCGTGTCAAACCCATTTTTGAAATTTTTATAAATGAGTGAAATCTGGGAAAATGTTATTGTAAGTATCGTAACCATTTTCTGTTCCTGATTCCTTGTCTTGTAAAAAGTCCACGAAAAATCCGATTAAAAACCTTAATCCCTAATTTTGATTAAGTGTGGGTTTTATATAATTTTCGAGTAGTGAGATAGATTACTGATAAATTACCTCGCTTAAATGTAGATGTTTGAGGAGTCGAGCCTGTTAGTGTTATATACTGAAAGCTTGGCTTTGCATGTTATTACACATTTACCCTTTATGAATGAGAATCATGTTAAATTAAACAAGTTCTACGTCTGTTGTTCTGCAGTTAGATAGGGTGGGTCGTCATCGGGCGAACCGAAGATCACTCTGTCAGTTACTTGCGAACAAGAATAGTTGTTCACAACCTAGATGGACATGAACACTCCATCCGAACGGTTGTAATGTCAACTGTACAATCTGTCTTGACTGATTAGTTGCACTAGTACATTTATGTATTGAACAGGATCCCAGAGAGGAGAAGTTCATTTTATACTGATCGTCGTAAATGGACTAGGCCTCGGTTAATTACTGCGTTCTTTTAACCCGTAAGATATTAAACAGGCATATATATATAATATATATTACTTTGATTCAATGGGTGAGGTTCAGTTCGCTGGATTAATATTCCTACTGTTTTGGGTAATATTATTATATATAGGATGTGCTGTTAGGATATTTACGGTCACCATGTGCGTTAGTTTGATGATGTCCCCGGAGTGAGTTCATGAAGGATTGTTATGCTAAACCCTGCAGGTGGATTAAGTTCCGGCATAATAAGAATGTGATGAACGAGCGCTAGCTTCGGTGAAATAATAATAAATTAATTAATTCTTGATTGTCAGTATTCAAATTAATTAATGGACATTATATCTTAAACGTGAAGAGGTAAATCGAGTAATTATTATTGGAGTCTCAAATGTAATTTGGGCTAGGAAGAGGGAGTGCAATAATATAATGTTGGTGGCCCATTAATATTATTTAATTAATTAGAGGAGTGGGCTTGGCCCACAGTTGGTCTAATTAATTAAGGAGCCCTTTTTCTAATCTCCTTAGGGTCTCTACTGTAGCTCTATATATACATCATTAAG